TTTCTTTTCATGTATTGTCTTTAACTGGCTTTGTTTGGGAGTAAAACTAATCTCATACATTGTGCCCTTCTCTTCAACTTTTTGAAAAAGACGTTGATTATCTTCTCTATTATTTTTCTGCTCTCTAATTCATCTATCTCTGCTCTAATCTTTATTATTTTCTCCTTTCTGATAGCTTTAGGTTTCGTTTGTTCTTTTCCTAGTTCCTTAAATTGTCAATTTGGTTGTTGTTGGTTTGAGATCTTTCTTCTTATTTAACGTAAGCATTTATAATTGTAAACGTTCCCCTTAGTACTTCTTTTGCTATATCCCATAAATTTTGAAATGTCATGTTTTCATTTTTATTTGTCTACAAGCATTTTTTTTAATTTCCCTCATGAGTTCTTCTTTGATCCATTGGTTAAGAGTGGATTGCTTAATTTCCACAAGTTTGTGACTATTTCAGTTTTCCTTCTGTATTGATTTCTAACTTCATCTTATTGTGATCAGAGAAGATACTATGTATGATATTTGCCTTTTAAAAACTACTAAGATTTGTGCTGTCAGAATGGATCACGTGGTACCTGCCTAGCAAGGATGAGGCCCTAAATTCAAACCCCAATACTGCCAAAAAAAAAAAAAAAAAAAAAAACTACTGAGATTTAAGTTATGGCCTAATGTATGGTCCATTCCAGATACACCTGAGAAAAATATGTGAGTATATTGTACTGTATGAATGTTAGCAAGGATTTTTTTTTTTTTGCAGTACTGGGGTTTAAACTCAGGACCTCATGCTTGCTAGGTAGTCACCCTTACAGCTTGAGCCATTCCACCAGCCCATGTATGTTAGATACACTTAGTTTATTGTGTTGTTTGAGTCATCTATCCCTGTCTTATCTTCTGCATGATTGTTTCTGTAAGTCTCCAACTATTATTATAGAACTATCTATTTCTCTCTTCAATTCTGTTAATCTTTGCTTCATATGTTTTAATGATTTCTTATTAGATGAGTACATGTTTATCATTGTATTACCTGTTTCCTGTATTGGATTTTATTTTAATATATACTATTCTTCTTCATCAATTTAACTTAAAATCTTTTTAGTTGATATTAGTATAGGCTCCCTTGCCCTGCTTTCTCTGGGTTACTATTTACATGGAATATTTTTTCCATTCTTTCACTCTCGACTTATTTGTGTCTTTGGACCTAAAGTGAGTCTCTTGTAGACAGCATGTGGTTTCATCATTTCTTTTCATCCAAACTGCATTTTGGTAGTGGTGGTGGTGGTGGTACTGGGGTCATGTTTACTATGCAGGTGCTCTATCACTAGAGCCACTGTGCAGTCCTGTTTTGGGTTGGGTTTTTTCGATATTGTCTCTCAAACTATTTGTCTGGGCTGGCTTCAAACTGTGATCCTCCTGATCTCTGCCTCCCAAGTATCTAGGATTTCAGGCATGAGCCACTGGCACTTGGCTCTAATTCTTTTGATTGGAGAATTTAATCCATTTACATTTAAAGTAATTACTGGAAGGGGAGACTTGCTTCTGTTATTTCATTATTTGTTTTCTGCATAGATTTTTGGTTCTTCATCTCCTACATTACTATTCTGTTCGTGTTTACTTCATTTTTTGTAGTAAAATATTTAATTCCTCTCTCATTTTCTTTAAGTATATTCTCTAGCTATTTTTGTGCCTATCAAGAGGATTATATTTTACATCATAAAATTACAATATTCTAATTTGATTTTTTTTCTACTTTGATTTTATACTAGCTTGTCTTCAGTAACATATAAAAACTCTGATTCTTTATATCTCTGTCCCTACCAGGTTCAGTTGTTGATGCCACAGAATTATATCTGTACATTGTGTGCTCAAAAACATATATCAATAATGTTTTAATGCATTAATCTCTTAAATTATGTAGAAATCTGTGAAAAAAGAAAAATAAAGTCAGCCTCTGATCCGTACTTCCTATCACAGAGCCCCTAAAATAATTCTAAATAAGGATTCTAGAAGATTCTTTTGTTCTTACATTTAGTCTTTGATCCTAGTCTCTGACACAGAATTCCTACATCCCTTGTAATTTCTTGGTTGATGAGAGTGCCTTTTGTTCAAATCAGGTGATTCCTACTGGACTCCTTGATGAGGGAGGAACATTCACCAAAAAAACCAAAGCTATAATTAGATGTCTAGAACCTTCAACAACATGCCCTCCCCATCCTTCTGGGAGAGAAAAGAAGCTTGAAATGAGTTCAAATCAATCATTCCTACATGAGAAAGCCTCCTTAAAAGTCCCAAAAGAAAGAAGCTCAGAGAGCCTCTTTTACATTTCACATTTATATACCAGGAGGGTGCAGCACCCAACTCCGCAGAGAAAAAACTTCCTGTACTCAATACCCTTCTGAATCTGGTTGCTTGTCTATAACCTTTATAATAACCTTTGTAATAAACTGGCAATAGTAACCTATTTTCCCAAGTTCTATAAACCACTCTAGCAATTTTCTGAACATAAAAAGGATGTCATAGGAACCTATCATTTGTAGCCAAGTCAGACAAAGATGGTGGGTAATCTGAAGACCTACTACTTGCAATTGGCATATGAAGTGGGGATCCAGCTCCCATTAATATTCCAACTTTTAGGATGGAGCCCTTAACCCAATTAATGTCAGATTATGATTGGGTTAAAGGACACCTACTTGGTGTCAGAGAATTGATTAGCATGGTGGGAAAACCCCACACATCTGGTCACAGAAGCATTGACATTGGTGTTGAGTACAGAAGGAAAACGGTTTTATTTATATATAAAGTTTGTGTGGGTGTGTATGTGGCACTGGGGTTCGAACTCAGGGTCTCACGCTTGCTAAGCAGGTGCTCTACCACTTGAGTCATTCTGCCAACCCTGTTAGTTTTCTTTACAAGCAAAAACAAAGTGCAGTCACAGCATTTTAATAATTTTTTACATATATGTCTGCCCCTGCCATACCCCTAACTGCCCTCTCACCCACTGTACTCGATGAGTCTGTGTCTTAACTTTCTTATACCTGCCTTGGAGTTTACAATGTATGATATAATGATCCTTTAGCAAAAATGCCCCAAATTTCTTCTTCCTTAGTGATTAAAATTGAAATAGATTTTTAAACCCTTAAGAATAAAATATAATACTGACTAGTGTGTATCAAGTGGTTAAAATAGCCAGGTACTCTCTTAAGGGATAAAACATCTTATTTCATTGAATTTTTTCTGTAAAGCACATGTAAGAACTTTACTACTGCTATCTATATTTACAGATAAGGCAACTGAAACTCTGATATATGAAGATTTATGAAAATTTTTCAAGGGTCAGGTGAACTTAAGGAGCCTGGATTTGGACTAATTTCATCTAACTGCAGAGGTTGGACCTTCAGCATTTTGCTTTGCAGATATGAGGCACAATGAGAACAATGACAGGTAAAAACTTTCCCAGCTCAGAGATTCCTGTGCTCACTCAGGGTTGAAGGAAGAGGAGTTAAGATAAAGTCACCTTCTCAAAGATGTCCTAACATTCCTGGAGGGGACTGTGTTCCTCTGTGCTCCCACAGTTCCCCAGGATGGCCTTATCTGAAAACTTGTCACCTTGCACCAGCATGGCCTGTGGGTTCCACCACCTGCCGCTGTAGAATTGAGTTCATCTGTCTTTTCTATCATTGTATCCCCAGGACTTATCCAGGAACTGGTAAAGGATCAATAAATATTGTTGGAATGCATAAAGGAACACATGAAAGAGAAAAATGTCTGTCCTACCACTGGTCTGTGCATTCCAGGCTAGCAGTGCCTAGCACACAGGAAGTGTGTCATGTACAGGTACACACCAACCAAGCATAAAAGCTCATTCAGATTTTCTATTACCTTTTCTAGTTGGAAGAAGAGCAGCTGAGAGAAATGAAGTGCAGAGACATCTATGTCTTGGGATACAGAATGAGGAAAAGAGATAAGAAAAAGTCAAGAAAAAAACCAGGTATTTAAAAAGTAAGTTATTGAGGAGGGAGAAAGAAATAGACAAAGGAAGACTATAAAGAGAAAACTGTCACTTTTCTAACCAAGTACCAAATAACTCTAGTTTAAACAAGATAACCCTCTCAGCCAGGCATGGTGCTACATGCCTGTAATCCTAGAACTAGGGAGGTGGAACAGGAGAGTATCAGGCCAGACTGGACTACATAGTGAGATCCTGCCTCAAAACAAATAAACAAAAAAAGATCCTCTCTTCCCCTTTCCATTCCTGCCTCCTTCTTCACCTTCTCCTCCTTCTGTTTCCTAGTCCTTCTTCTAATTTCCACAAGGCCTAAGAATTTTGAACTTCATCCTCTAGCTTGTGGGAAGAAATTGACTCTTGGAGCAAGGGAGAATTGGAAGAGCTTGGTATAATCATATTTACATTCTAAAGGAAAACAAGAAATGTCTAACATTTAGTCATGGGTCAGACTATTGTCGTCCCTATTCTGTCAAACCCAATGAGGATGATTTGGTCATTTGGCTCCTCTTGAACAAACTCCTGAAGATGAGAACCTGGAATGTACCAGATATGGATATTGAATGTCTTTTTCTTCTTTGGTGCACCCCCCAAAAAAAAGATTCTTTTCTCCTTCAGATTCTCCAGGTTGAGGATATAAATTGATCAGTTCATATGTGTGAATTCATAAGGGGTGGGATAAATGCCTCCCTCCTGCCCTTTAGTCCTCTAGCTTTTTTAAGGGGCCTCTAGAAAGAAGGCTAGGGGTGGGCATATTCCTCTCTCAGGATTGTGAAGCCTTAACTTTGCAAGTACAAAAGTGGTGTAAGTAGACTCAACCAAAACAGTAGACATTCTTTTGAAATCTCCCACAGTGCTTCATTTCTGCGTGATAATAAAAACAAGAAGCTTTGAATGAACAGGATTTATTCTCCTTTCCTCTACCATTAATACTCTAGTTATAGGTGAGTTGTTCTTCATCCTTGGGACCCCATAGTTAGAAGAAGAGGGCTGGATCCATATCATGAATCTCTCAGCGATAGAACAGAAGTACAGCTGCCTCGATTAACTCCCGGCTACTGCTCCAGCCAGTATGAGTTCCATAGCCATCCCAGTCAAAAGAAGAGAAGTCTCCACACTGCTTAGGATTGCCCTCTGGGAAGTATCCTCCTCCACCAATGCAGTTCTGGGAAACAAGAAGAAGAACAAGAAGCGGTAGTGAAAGATCTGCTGGTATTGTGGTTTGGATATGAAGTATCCTCCCAAAAGACTTGTTTATTGAAGACTTAGTCCCCAGTGCAAATGGTGTTCAGAGGTAGGGTTTTGGGGAAGTGACTGGATCATGAGGGCTCTGCCTTCATCAATGGCTAACCCATTGATGGATTCAAAACTTAAGTAGACTGTTAGGAGGTGGTGGAACTGGGAAGATGGGGCCTGGTTGGAGGAAGAAGGTCATTGGGAACTTGTCTTGAAGGATACTTGCCCTGTCCCCTTACCATCCCCTTCCCCCATGATGGTTCTACCTTGCAATGGGCCTAAAAGCAATGAAGTCAACTGAGCATGAATGGAAATCTCTGAAACCATTAGACAAAAAAATTCTTCCTCTTTTAAGTTGATTCTCTCAGGTATTTGTCACAGCAATGGAAAGATAATCCAGTTGTTGAGCCCAGAGGCATCTTAATGCCCAAATTCACTAGAGACTTTGGTCCTCACCAGACTCTCTATTGATGGTGTTGATATATTCCTCCCATAAAAAATCTCTCTTCCAGAGAGATATCTACACAACAACCCATGTATATAGCAGCACTATTCACAGTAGCCAAGCTATGGACTCAGCCTAGGTGCTCAACAACCAGAAAATGAATAAAGAAAATGAGGTAAATACATGCCATGAGTATTCTTCAGCCATAAGAAGAATGAAATTATGTCACTTGTAGGAAAAAGGATGGAACTGGAGGCCACCATGTTGAGCAAGATAACCCAAGCTCGAAAAGCCAAATATCATGTATTTCCACTCATCATCACCTAAAATGATGATGATAATAATAATAATAGGACTTGAATGTAAAAGGGAGATTGTCTAGGGAGGATCAGTAGGAAGGGGAGGGAAGGGAGAGAGGGTACAGAGGAAAGGAAGGTGAAGTGGATCAAAGTACATTACATATACATATATGAAGACAGCATAATGAAACCCACCAAACACTGTTTGTAAAAGGAAGGAGAGGGGAAGGAAGCTAAGGGAATATAATAAAAGAAGTAAACTTGGATTGTGTGCCCCTCTTTTGCTTCAGTTACTAACAACTTACTAATGGCCACAAATCTCTATTTCCAGATATTTCTTGGGCTAAGAACTTCAAAATCTAACTGTCATCTAGATCTCTACTCAGGCACCTCAAGCTCCACATGACAAACACAGAGTTAATTGCAGCCACGCATCACTGAACAACGGGGATAGATTCTGAGAAATGCATCACTGGGCAATTTTGTCGATGCATGAACATCAGAGGGTATACTTATACAAGCTAACATGACTATAGCATTACTAATCGTTATAGTTTCATGGGACCACTGGCATACAAACACAATCTGACATTGACCGGAGCACTGTTAAGCTGCAGAGTAAAACTAAATCCCTCATTGACCCCAAACTGTTCATCATCCAGACACCTGACTAAATAGCATTCTTTCACCAAATGAAAACCATAAGGTTATTCTAAACTTCTTCTCTTCCTAACCTCTATATTAAATGTTATAAATTTAAAATCTTTGGAATTCATTACCCCCCATTCCAGGTCATTGCCATGGGCACTGTCCTACTCCAGGCCTTCATCTGAACCGTTGAATTTACCTAAATACTAGATTCCTTGCTTAATCTCTCTCCAGTAGAATTTGTCACCAGTTTGTGACCAGTGTGAGCTTTGTAAAACATGAAGATGATCCAGCCAATTTTCCCTTTAAAATGCTTCAATGGCTCCCATCACTTATAGCATAGTCCCAAATCATTGACACGATGTGAAAGTCTTCCTTTTCCAGCTCCAGCTCCTGCCTCTACAGAAACTGAAACACAGCTGCTCCTTCCTCATCACCACATGCTCTCTGAAACATTAATGATTTTGAACATACTAGTCACTCAACCTAAATTGCACAGATACCTCATAATCTTCTATCCATCTCTTAAGGCTCACTTCAGAATTTGCCTTTTCTGGAGTCACTGTCCCAACTCCCTTAGCAGATTTAGGTACTCATGTACCCCTTAGTTAAGTTTTAGTGCTTTTTTGTTTTGTTTTGTTTAAATTTTTAAATTTTATTTTTGAATTATCAGATACTAATAATACAAGGGGGTTGCATTGTGGTAATTCCATACATGCATAAGTATACATTGAATAAATTTACTCTTTCTACTTTGTTTTGTTTTGTTTGTGGTGCTGGGGATCAAACTCAGGGCCTCTTACATAATAGGCAAGTGCTCTTCCACTGAACTATTCTCCCAACCCCCTAGTTAATATTTCAATTATTCAGATGTATCAGATAATAATTACATCTTGGTGTGAATGTCTGTCTTGCTATATGCTGAGCAAGACAGACACCAACTTCATGTCTCCTGTACCACTACCGTGTAGGTGCTTGCTGCAAGCTGTACTAAGTAATGCACAAATGCACACTATAATACACATCCTTTGGGCCATGGCTGGAAGGTGACTTGGGAGACAGGTTGTCACAAAGATACCTGCCTTTCAGTACCCTATTGTCATCATATTCCATCACAATTCCAGGGTCCTCCTTGACAATAAAGCTGCCTTATCTTGACTGGGAAAAGGATAAGCTGGTGGCTGAGGAATGAAAGAAAAATGAGCTCTTCAAGGTCCCCTGCCAGCAACTGAGAACCCTTTTCTCAGAATGTTACTTTGGGGAGGATGGGGTCCCTAGAGAACATGCTTATTCTTGACAGCTCTCATTCTGGGCAGCCCAAGGGCTCCATCCTCATCCTGCCTTTGCCCTGGCTTAGGGAAACATCAAGGCTTCTGCAGGTGAGAACCAAGTACACCTGCCCTGTCAGTCAGTCTACATGGTAACCTTTGGCCAGAGAAAGTGCCTATGGTAGGGAGAGGGATGGCCTAAGTGAGGTCTAGCAGAAGATGTCAGGGACTCTCAGCAACCCCTCAACACAGTGTGCATCTACGCAAGTCCTGAACAGGGCTGGGAAGGCCAAGTTTTACTCTGAAAACTAAACCTCAGGTGGAGAATAACAATGTCTGCTATTTCTCAAGGCATCTGCACACCAAAAGGCTTCTAGAGAACATTCCCGAACACCAGCCTCTCCCTAACTCCAGGCGCCTCCCAAAGGCTGAGCATACAACAATGGTGCATTTGAAGTCTCCATCCTATATTTTGTTCCTCAACAGTACAAGATGCCTATACCTTGGCACAATGTCCCATAGCCTAGTCCCTGAGACCCAACAAAAAGCAAGATGATACTCACACACACACACACACACACACACACACACACACACACACTCACACTACAGTATTACCACACTCAACACATACAGAATAACAAACTTCACTTTACTCAGAGGTCCCTTTTGTCCCAAAAAAGCCTCACCGTCTCAGTGTTACATCCAGTGACTCTTACTCCAGCACATAAGGCATTGGCTGCTCTCTCGTTATTAAATACTCTGAACTGGACAAATCCTGCAGTGAATTCCTCTGAAAACAAGAGGCAGAAAACAGCATTCAAGGAAGATGCTAGAAATAATTTCCTTATAGCCCAGAGATTGTCTATGCCAGGCTCCATCTCAAGTTCAATGTTGGTGGAGCCCAGCACCACTGTGACCAATGGCTGGACCATCCCAGCTCCAGATCTGGTTCTTTTTCCAACCCAAAAGCCCAAAAGCTTGTCCTCAGAGAGCCCCTGATCTTCTACACACTTGTATGAAGAAATTCAATAATACTGGAAGATCACCACTGAACAAGCAGCTTGTTGCAGCAATTAGCAAGTACTTTCACTCTGATCTTGTTTTCACCTTTCTTAGTCCCTTTAAAATAAAAGAGTTACATCCCAAATATAAATAATAAAAGCTTTGAATTGTAAAGCTCAGGCTCAGCCTCTGTGAAGGATATGCTGCCAAATTCAGATTTATATTAAACAAACTAATAATTACCCCTCACATAGAAATATAACTTTCCCCCATTGTGTCTGTTGTTCAGCCCTGCACACATAAATCTGGTCTGGTCCTAACAGGTTATTGAGGGGATGATAATGCAATGCTGTTGCTAGAAGAAGAGTCTGAAGCCAAATTTCCCCAGTCTAAATGCTGGTTCTTCTATCTATATCCAATGATCTGAGGCAAGTTCTCAAACCATCAGTACATTTGTTTCCTCATCTGTAAAATGGGATTGGTGACATCATGGGTAATCATGCAAATTAAATGAGACAACACATGCAACATTCATAGAAGAGGATCAGGCTGTAGTAAGTATAAATAACTTCTCCCTATCATAACCGAATTTATCATCTTTTCTACAAAGAATCAGAAGAGCATTAAAGACTCACTCTGGCCATTGGGTGAGTAATAAGATGCTGTTTTCTGGGCATCCCCAAAATCATAAACCACAGGTATTGCAGGGCCATTGTCAGTCCAACACTTTCCTTCTCCATATTTCACTGGATATTTCTACAAGGAACAAAAGAATTTATTGACTAAGGACTATAGCTTCATCTCTGACAAGAATGCTACCATTCATAGAGGGAAAAAAGTTTTCTCACTAACTGAGATTATTTCAAACCAGTTAAAAAAGAATCTTTCCCTTGTGTTGTGCTTCTCCAACACTCTAGGCCACTTGCAGCTCCCTTTCTTTCTTCCCTCTCTTCTTCCCTTTCACCCTCTTCTTCCTCCTCTCCCCCACCTCCTATCTCTCTTGCCTTCCTTGTCACAGAATTCCTCAGAGAAGCGGCACAGAAACCATCAGTAAATTATGGTTAGGGGGGACATGGAAGACAAGCCCACAGAAAGATGATTCCTGTCCAACCTCAAGCACCTGCTCTCTACACCCATGAAAAACAGCCCCAGCCAGCACCCCTGTGTACCTGGTAGAGGCCAAACAGATTATGTCCTACATGCTCCAAGAAGCCATTGAAGGTGCGGTACCTCAGCAGGGAGCTGTTCCTCCAGTTCTGCATGGGACTCTTGTTGGGGACATGCCAGATGCTCAGGTCCTGGGCTTGGATGTCAAAGTAGCCAGGGTTCTAGAAACCAACAAACATTGAGCCTTTTGCTGGGCTTCTCCAACACCCTAGGCTACTTTACCCTTGTCCTCCTCCTATCTCTATGGATATGGTGCAAATTTAGATTTGCATTCAAGAAACTAGTAGTTCCCTCTCACAATAGATATAAGACTGTCCTGCTGTTTTGTCTGTTGTTCTGCCATGTACATATGAATCTGGCCTGGTCCTAACAAGTTACCTTGGGACTAAGACCAAAGGTAACCATGAGGAAAAAGACCCTCAGCTGAGCTGACAGCTCTGGGTTCCAGGAGGGGAGATGGCCAGCCAAGCTTAGACTCTCCTACTCCAGCAGATGATGGTTTCCCACCACCACCCAGGTCCCTCCATGTTGGGAGGAAGGTGAAATTCAAGACATGTTAGTAGCTCTCTCTTCTTCTGCCCTGTCTCTACAACCCTCCTTCCAACCTTCCCTCCTACATGCTTGTGGCCCAGCCACACTCAAGTCCTCATCCTTTCCCAAGTTGGTAGAGAGTGGCACTAACCTTATAGTCATCACTTGTGGCGGCCTCTGCAGACCCAAAGGTGTTGTAGTTGGCCCAGTTGCCATCCCCCTCTGGGTAATCTGCTCTGTTGCCCTGCTGACTGGACCAGCGATCACCCACTGTGCACTTCCCATACATGTTGTTCTCGTGCACACTGGCCACCAGAGTCCAGCCACCACCCCCAGAGGTCATGTCACAGAAGGTCTGGTAGATGGCACCATTGTTGGTGCGGAGGAAATACAGGCCATCTGTGGAGAGAACCAGCTCTGAGCCTCCCTCTCCGTGGGCTAATGGTCCATCTCAGACCCATAACCAGAACAGCTCTAGGAATGAGAAACATGGCCTAAAGCCTCCTCTTCTAAGGCTATTTCTGTGTCTCTGGGGGACTGGAATCTCCTTGAGATCAGAAGCCCATGCCCCTGCGAATGAGGCAGAACATAGAATTAACCAAACTCGCAGTGACGTATCTCATAAAGTTAAACAAAGAACGATCATATGACCCAGCAATTCCATTCCCACTCAAAAGAATTGGAAACAGGAACTCAGATATTTGTATACCAATGTTCATTGAAGCTTGTCCCACAAAACTCAAAAGATAGGAACAACCCAAATCTTTCTCAACAGATGAACGAATAAACAGATGTTGTTTATGTATACATACAGTATATGTAACACATATTTCATGTATTTTGCATCATTCATATTACACAATGGATAAAAGGGAAAGTGTTATCCATACTACCATGTATATAACCTTGAAATCATTCCCCTCAGTGAAATAATGTAGACACAAAAGGGCAAATACCTTATGATTCTAGTTATAAGCAGTAACTAGGAAAGGCAAATTCGTGGAGACCGAAAGTAAGAGAGCAGTCACCAGGGACTCGGGGGAAGTTGCTTCACAACTATGCAGTTTCTATTTGGGGTACTGAACAATTTCTGGAGATGGATGGTGGTGATGGATACACAACACTGTGAAAGTAATTCATGCCACTGAAATGTACACTTAAAAGTGGTTAAAATCCAGTCAGGCATGGTGGCTGACACTTATAATCCCAGCACTCAGACTGAGGCAGGGGGATTACAATTTCAAGACCAGCCTAATAAAACACTGTCTCAAAAGAAAATTGTTTTGGTTAAAATGGCAAATTTTACCCAATATGTAGTGTGTATACACTTACCATATTTCCTAACTAAAAAAAAAACTCTCAGAGACCTGAAGCATGATGGCCTGGCCAGGCCCTTTAACTGCTCCATCACTCACCACATGCACTCTGGTACTTCTGTTTGACTTCCTTGCAGCTTCTGGGCAGAGATGGAGACAAAAACTTGGTCTCTTTCTCTAAATCCATATTGGCCCCAGCTGGAAAACATGCAGTTTTATCCTTGTTGCTGGTTTGACACAAAACCCAGCCTCTCCTTGTCACTAATCCCAAACTCATGTCCCCACTGTGACAGAGCCTCGCTGCCTGGGTTGAAAGGCCCTGTGGGAACCCAGAACCTCATCCACTGCGCCCAGCATCCAGCACAGGCTTACACATGCCTCCCTCCCTCGCACTGGGCACAGGCTCTGGGCATTCAGAGAAATCAAATATTTCCCCTAGAACTTATCTCGAGAGGGAGTTGCTGACCAGTCAACAGAAAACTGCATGGAGACGAAGGAATGATTAAACCCAGGAGAACAAAAGGACTGCGAGGTGAGAATTGAGAACAGAGAAGCCTGACTGGGGGTTAAGAGGTATCTGAAGTAGGATGTCTTAGTCACAGAGGCCTTCTAGTCCAGGTGACACCTTAGCTTATTCTGAGAGAATAAACATGATCTGTCATTAAGAGGAAAAAAAGAATTCAAAGCAGGAAGAACAAGATGTCCAGAGGCCTGGAGGAAAGAATGAAGCAAAGTCCAGGCATTATAGGAGTTTAGCTAAACAGAGGTAAATTCTATTTAGCTCAATGTGGCTAAAACATAGTCAATACTGAGACTCTGATCAGGAGATTCACAGAGGCAGAGAATGAAGAACCTTGTAAGCCAATCACAACCCTGCAAACTACTCTGAAAGTCTAGAGGAATGGAAACGATCACAAGCTTCAAGGTCAGAGGTATTCATGTGTAAGCAGCTCAATGCTTACAAGTGTCCTTGGATTTCACTTACCCTATCTGAGCCTCAGTTTCCTTATGCCTAAAATGAAGCTAATAGTGACTGTCTTTGTGAAAGTCACATAAGATAATATGTTTTTCTCTTTAAAAATAAATAACAATGAAGAGAATGCAGACTGTAAAATGCCATTAAGTTCTTCTTGTAAAGAGGAAGACTATGAACATTCTCTGGATATAAAGCAGGCATGCAGTTGCCATGGAAGTCCAAAGGCCATAGGAGTGGGAACAGGACACAGTTCTTACTGGAGTCCCCTCAGGGCCATGCAGAGGCAACAGAGCCTGGACCCATGCCATGCCTTAGCCACACTCTCACTGCGACAAGCCAAATCCCTCAACATACTAGAAATCAGCTCTCATCCTACATGCAAGGAAGCCTCTGCATCCCAAAGATATCCTCTCTGTCCCAGGGGAAATCAGAATCCCAGAGCAGCCCAGCCTAATTCTGTTTTCTTTGAACCCTATAAATGACCTGAGAGAACAGGCTATGGGCACAACTCACCTGCACTGCACCTTCTGGTGGCCACAATGAGAAACAGCAGGAAGCTAAATTGGGTCATTGTAATCTAAAGAAAAGCAAAATGAAGGTCACTGTCTTGACCACCATTCTCTCTGTATCCCCCTCCTGACTCCTACCTAGTCCTACAAAGACTCAGAGCCCCCTTACCTTTTTTTTTAAACTCCCACATCTCTGAAACCTAAACCAGACCTGAGATGAAACCAGGGTTACACTAACTCACAGATAGCATCCTCTTCTCTCCACACCAGGCCAGGAGCTGAGAGCTTCCAGCTGAGTAGGGTCTGAGAACTTTCTCTGCAGAGGCTCCTGATGTTGAGTGAGGCTCTGATCTCTTTATGGAGGAACTCCAGTGGGGCACAGCCTAGCCTTCCAGCCCAACCCTCCCCTGGCACCATGCCCAGTGGAGGTGAGACTTCTGGCTATTACAGGAAAAGTTCTTTATGCAGTGTTGGTTTGTAGAATTAGCAGGCTTTAAAGAACAAATATCAAAGGATGACTACTAGCATTGTTCCCAGGGTAGGGATTCACTGATCTGTGTACTTTCAAAAAAGAAAATAGATGAGACTAACCAGGGCTGGTGTTGGTTTTGGTTTTGGTTCTTTGATACTTGTTTAGTTTAGGTCTAGATCAGTTATTGCACGTATTCAGCTACATAAGTAAATAGATCACCTCCTGAAATAAGAAATCTAGGAAGGGAATAGGCTCTGGGCTTCATTGACTCAGCAGCTTCACTATGACTTTAAGACCTTAGGCTCTTTCAGTCTCTCCACCTTCATCCTATGACTGACTTTGAGATGGTTACTGCTGTTTTAGGCATTATTTACAAGACAAGGGAGAGGAGATCATCTCTTCCTGTGCTTCTTTTTCAGGAAAGAGCAAGTGTTCCCAGAGAACCCCAGAATGCTTTTCCTTATCTCATTGGCCAGAAGTGGGCCCACACTGTGCTGGTTCAATAGAGCCTCCATAAGAAAATATCACAGATTAGGTGGAGTAAACAATGCGAATTTATTTTCTTGAGTTTCTTGGAGACTAGAAATCCAACATAAGCATGTCCGCAGGACTAGCTCCTTCTGAGGCCTCTGCTTGGCTTGGAGATAGCCACCTTCTCCCTGTCTTCACATGATCTTTTCCCCATGTACACACATCCCGTGTGTCTTCTTTTATGTCCAAACACCCTCTTATAAATATATTGGATTAGTGTCCATCCTAATTACTTCATTTTATTTATTTAAGAATTTTTTTGGTAGGATTGGGGTTTGAACTCAGGGTTTCACACTTGCAAAGTAGGCGCCCTATTATTTGAGCCACACTTCTGGTCCATTTTGCTCTGGTCTTTAAGATTAAGTTAAGTTGGGTGCCAGTGATTCATGCCTATAATCTTAGCTACTTGGGAGCTGAGATAGAGAGGATCATGGTTCAAGGCCAGCCCGGACAAATGGTTCTCGAGACCCCATATCCAAAATAACCAGAGCAACAATAAAAGAAATAGTCTCTAAACTAAAGAGACCACCCACAGAGTGGGAGAAAATATTCACCAGCTACACATCAGACAAAGGACTGATAACCAGAATAGATAGGGAACTTAAAAAACTAAACTCTCCCAAAATTAATGAACCAATAAAGAAATGGGCAAGTGAACTAAACAGAACTTTCTCAAAAGAAGAAATTCAAATGGTCAAAAAACACATGAAAAAATGCTCACCATCCCTAGCAATAAAGGAAATGCAAATTAAAACCACACTAAGATTCCACCTCACCCGTTAGAATGCAACACCACTAACAACAGGTGTTGGCAAGGATTCGGGGGAAAAAGGAACCCTCTTCCACTGCTGGTGGGAATGTAAACTAGTACAACCACTCTGGAAAAAAATTTGGAGGCTACTTAAAAAGCTAAACATTGATCTACCATTTGATCCAGCAATACCACTCTTGGGGATATACCCAAAAGACTGTGACACAGGTTACTCCAGAGGCACCTGCACACCCATATTATTGCAGCACTATTCACAATAGCCAAGTTATGGAAACAGCCAAGATGCCCCACCACTGACAAATGGATTAAGAAAATGTGGTATCTATACACAATGGAATTTTATGCAGCCATGAAGAAGAACAAAATGTTATCATTCGCTGGTAAATGGATGGAATTGGAGAACATCATTCTGAGTGAGGTTAGCCTGGCCCAAAAGACCAAAACTCATATGTTCTCCCTCACATGTGGACATTAGATCAAGGGCAAACACAACAAGGGGATTGGACTTTGAGCACATGATAAAAGCGAGAGCACACAAGAGAGGTGTGAGGATAGGTAAGACACCTAAAAAACTAGATAGCATTTGTTGCCCTCAACGTAGAGAAACTAAAGCAGATACTTAAAGCAACTGAGACCAATAGGAGAAGGGGACCAGGAACTAGAGAAAAGGTTAGATCAAAAAGAATTAACCTAGAAGGTAACACACATGCACAGGAAATCAATGCGAGTCAACTCCCTGTATAGCTATCCTTATCTCAACTGGCAAAAACCCTTGGCCCCTCTTATTATTGCTTATGCTCTCTCTTCAACAAAATTAGAAATAAGGGCAAAATAGTTTCTGCCGGATAGTGAGGGGGTAGGGGGGGAGAGGGAGGGGGCAGGGGGCTAAGGGAGAGGGTGGGGAAGGAGGGAGAAATGACCCAAACATTGTATGCACATATGAATAAAATAAAAATAAAAATAAATAAATAAAATAACCAGAGCAAAATGGACTAGAATTATGCTCAAGCTGTAGAGCGCCTGCTTTGTAAGTGCAAAGCCCTGAGTTCAAACCCCAGTCACACACAAAAAAAATAATAAAGGACAGTATGATCTCACATAGGTATCAATATACTTTTTTCTTAAAAAATGAAAGATAGGAATGTAGAACAGTTCCTGTTGGTGGGGTTGAGTACTAGTTAGAGGGGGAGGGTGAACAGAGAGGGTGATGAAAGGTGAATATGATCGATATACTTTCTATACTTGTATAAAAATAGAACAATGGAATCTGTTGAAATTGTTTTAAGTGGAGGAGAGAAGATGAGGAGGTGAATGAAGGGGGTGAATCCAACCCAGGTACAATGTAAGCATATATAGAAATGCCGCAATAAAACCCCTCTGTACAACTAATATATGATAATAATTTTTTAAAGGCAAGAAACGAGAACAAAAAAATAACATAAAAGAACTACAGCACTTCCTTAGTATGCACAAGGTTCTAGATTTGATCCCCAACATCACAAAAAGGAGGAGGAGGAAGAGGAGGATAAAAAATACATAAAACTGCTTTTGATGGAATGTTGCCTTTAGTGGACTTAGATTCATCCTCAAGGTTTGGGGGCTTAGCTCAAGTGGTAGAGCACTTTTCTAGATTCATCATCAACAGCCAGTCCATGTCCAAATAATTCAAAATGTACCTCAGGGAGAAAATGGACCGTATGTGTGTGCACTGGGAAGAAAGCCCCTCCCTCCTGGATCACCTCATTCCCAGCCATCTGCACCTCTAAGTGACTTGGTTATGCTTTACTGTTTCAAAAAAAGAAGGCTTTACTGTAAATTTTTTTAACGCACATATGGAAAATGACATGACATAAATACAGAGTTTAATGAATTACAAAAAGGTAAATACCTGTGTAATTATCATCCTAGTCAAGAAATAAAACCTTGTCAGCATCACAGGAGCTTCCCACATGCTCCCTCCAGATTACAAGCTCCGCCCTTGTAATCATTAGCCCAGTTCTTATTGCAATCAGATCCTTGTGCCCATACCACATGATCAAAATTATTTTGGTTTTTGGTGGTACTGGGATTTAAACTCTGGGCCTCATACTTGCTAGGCAGGCGCTCTACAACTTGAGTCACTCCTCCAGTCAAAAATCCCATAATTTATAAAATGTCTCAACATCCAGTACTGCAAGGTCTCTCACCTATTCTTCAAAAATATCTTGGTTATCTTTAGCCTCTACATAAAACTTTTTATAATTTTTAGTAAGGATTTATTAAAACTTTTGAAATAAATGAATTACACACACATGACACACACAAACCCCTAGGATTTTTATTTCAATTACATTGATTCTGTTCTATAGACTATTTTGGAAATAATTGAGATCTTTAAAATAATGAATGTGGCATATTTTGTGTTTATTTGGATTTTTATTGCTTCCTCATAAAGACACCTTACCACTTTTCTGTAAAGATTTTGTGTATCTGACTAGCAGCACTAACTCTCTGTTAGCTCAGATTGGCCTTGATCTCACAACCTTCATGTCTCAGCCTCCTGAGATTATTCAGTACTTAACTTTTTTTTTTTTTTCAGTACTGGGGCTTGAACTCAGGGTCTACATCTTAAGCCACACCACCAGCCCTTTTTTATGAAGTTTTTTTTCGAGATAGGGTCTTGAGAACTGTTTGCCTGGGCTGGCTTCAAATTGCAGTCTTCCTGATCTCTGCTTCCTGAATAGCTAGGATTACAGGCGTGATCCACCAGCACTCAGAAGTATTTAACATTTTTGGTGATATTATAAATGCTACCTTTTCAAATTTCATCTTCTGTTCAATTTTTTGCATACAGAAATACAAATTATTTTTCACACACTTCTCTCTTATCCATCATGATCATTTATCTGTACATTATTTTGAATTTTCTGCATAACAATTGTATCATCTGAAAAATAATAACTATTCTTTCTTTCTTGTCACTCTCCATGCCTTTGTTTCTTTTCTCCTGTGTTACTGCACTGTGGTTACCTTCAGTATTATGTTGAACAGTAGAGAAGAAAATGAATATTGTCCTTTCCCATCACACAAGGAAAGAGTTCGGTATTGCATAATATGATGTTGCTGTATATTTTTTTATGAAGAACTCCAATAAAAACTCATTCTAGAGTGGTACTGGTCCCCAGACTGTATTTCGAAATCCCTGAATCAGTACACACTTCCTCTGATGTCTCAGTACCTGCTCCATCACTCCTGTTCCAGTGTCATTCCTTAGTTCCTTGAACATAACTGTTACACCCCTCTGGAAT